ACAGAAGTCAGGTGGGGATGGGTGGACTTGCACTGTGGCCAGATCACAGTTTGTTACTCTGTGGGAGCATGTGAACACTGAGAAAACCAATTATTCATGCCCAGTTTCTGTTATCAAATACCTTAGTTCAAAGAGAAAATGAATGGTCCCTCAAAAAGTTAAGTAGGGAATGATCCCATGGACTGGTGATTCCATTCCTAGATCTATACTCCAGAAAGGGAGAAGACAGAACCCCCAAAGAAGACTTTGCATGTGTTCATAGTAGCATTACTTACAGCAGCCATGAGGTGGCAGCAAACCACGTCAACTGACAAAGCTGTTAGGTAAGTACTCAGTGTTGTGTCCCTGAGTTTCACTCATGCTAACTGAAGAAAGCTGGACAAAAAGAATGAACCCTGTATCACCCTGCTACACGTGAGGCCTAAACTAGGCAGGTTCCGAAACACAGAAGGTGGGACAAGGGTTATCGATGGCCAGAGAAAGGGAGAATGTGGAGTTGCTTTTGTTTTCAAATTACTTTTTTAGTATATATGAATGTTTTGTCTGCATGTAAGCCTGTGCACCACAGGGCACTGGAGGTCCTGGAACTTGAGTTACAGGCAGCTGTGAGCCACCGTGTAGGTGTTGGAACTGAACCCGGGTCCTCTGCAAGAGCAGCCTGTGCTCTTAACCACTGAGCCATCTCTCCAGCCCCGTGAACTTTTTTAGAGAATATGAAAAGGTTCTGGAAAAGGCTGGCAGTAATGTTTGCAGAACATGGTGAATGTCCTTACTGTTACCGAATTGTCATTCGTTGCAAGTGGTATGATTTGATGAGGTACATTGTTACCACAGTTAAAGACCTTTTGATAAGGTACATTGTTACCACAGTTAACGACCCTTTCCTTACCATAGTTAAAGACCTTTCCTCCACTTTGTTATCCTTGTTATTCACTTTATCCTTTCAAGGAAATGAATTTTCAAGGACAGTAAGAGGAGGACTACTGGACTGCAGGGTTATAAGCACTGACTGCTTTGTTTTAGAGGAACTGGTTTTGTTACCAACACCTTGTCCACTGGAGTGTTCTCATTCATTAATATGGCAGTGGCATGTAGAAATTGGACTTGATCTTGACCCGCTAACTATAGCTGCAGTGAGTTCTGAGAGCAATGGCCATGCGACGTGCAGAATTTCACTGCGTCCCCATCCTCTGGCCTCACATTCTGTCTGCCCCCATTTCAGGATGTTATTTGAGTCCTGGAGGGAGGAGGGTTCATACAGATGCCCCGGGTAAGGCTGAGCACTCTTCAGTGACTTACTTAGCACCCTGCAGTAACTGCCGGCCTGTAGCAGAGACAAGCTTCTCTGGCCAAGGCTGACAGTAGCACTGATCTGTGGACAGGAGTGTAAATATTTAGGAAGCAGTTGTATGTTTAGCAAAACAACTGCATCATCCATCTACCAGGATTGACTTCCTGAGCTGTGGGCTGTATGCGAATTCCCTTCTGTGGAGCAGGCCTCAGATCCAAGTAGAAAGCTGTTGGTTAATTCCATAACCTTTACACCACGGTTGTAGCATGGGCACACCTTGCCTGGCAGGTTGGCATTGTAGCATCCAGGGTTCGACAATGGGTAAGACCATTGATTATTATTATTATTATTTTTATCTCCCAGAAGCCTGCATAGCACCTCCCAGATCGGGAGGTTTCAGGTCACCTCCAGCTCGTTTCTCTATACCCCGTGACCAAAGTGTGTAGTGTCTTTAGCAAGAGGGTCTTGCCATCTGGTTATTGTGGTCCACCAAGAGTAATGGCAATAGCCTGTACTGTTTTGGGTGCCTCTGGAACCTCCCTGACCAATAACTGATAGGCTTGTGTGCTGGCTAATTTTATGTTAAATTGATGCAAGCTTGAGTCATCTGGAAAGGGGAACCTCAATTGAGAAAAATGTCCCACCCGCAGATTGACCCGTGGTGCATCTTTTTAATTGGTGATTGGTTTTGGAGGGCCCAGCTCACCAGGGGCAGCACTGCCCTGGGTACTGTAAGAAAGCAGGCTGAGCAAGCCAGTGAGCAGCACCCTCCTCCATGGCCTCTGCATCAGCTCCTGCCTGCAGGCTCCTGCCCTGCTAGAGTTCCTGCCCTGGCTCCCCTGGATGGTGGGCTCTGCATGCTGGGCTACAAGGTACGATAAAATAAACCCACTCGTTCCCACGTTGCCGCTGGCTATGGGGTTGTATTGCAGTAATAGAAACCCTGAGTAAGACGGGAGATATCTCATCTGATACTGAGATTTTAATTTAGTGACCACAGTGTGAATTTTCAACAGCAACTCTGTCATCCAGGGGTCACAGGAATGCCACTCCAAGCAAAGGATCCCCTGAAGGTTTCAGGTTGGAATCTGGTGTGTGTTCAGGTTGGACAACAGATTCGATCGTGGCAGTGGTATTGCTTCTGCTAACTGCTGGAAGACAAGGCAGGATGCTGTATTTAAAATGACTTATAATGTCTGATAACTTCCTGTTTGTGGTGGGGGTCCAGCTCTGGGCCTCATGTGTGTCACACATGCATGCTGCTACTGAGGTGCCTCTAGCAGCTTTTAGGTCTGGGTGATTTGTACTTAATAGTTGGTTATACTATTCCTTGGACAATTTCTGTGCATGACCAAAAATTTCCATAGTTAAAAAATGTATACATCACCATAGAAACAGGCTTGACTCATGACCTACATCCACTAAGACAAATTGTGTTTATAGTATGTCTGAACCCTGGGACTTAGAATTGAAGACTGTGTGTGTCCATACGGACTTTTATTTTTGAAGAAAGAGACACAGCAGTTAAGTCAAACTAAACAGAAAGCCTGGCTTCAAATTCTGAATGGATTTTGAGAGCAGGCTGCTCTCTCTTCTGGGAGTCTTATTTTGGTAAACGTGTGTGTGTGTGTGTGTGTGTGTGTGTGTGTGTGTGTGTGTGTGTGTGTGTTGTGAATCATGTGTTGGAGTCACCTGATTTAGCTGGGGTGTAACTAAGTCTGGAAGGCTTAGTGGGGAGATGTGTTTTTAGTATCTCCCCACCACACATGATTATGGTTTTATGAGATTTGGGGTCTTGAAAAGGGAGCTCTCTGGTCTACACTGCCAGGATTATTTGGGGTCTTTGAAAGGGAGCTCTCTGGTCTACAGTGCCAGGATTATTTGGGGTCTTGAAAAGGGAGCTCTCTGGTCTGCAGTGCCAGGGTTATTTGAACCGTGTATTTTGCAAGCTCATCTTTGTTTTGTTTGCGCCGTAATGTCATGTCTGCTTCCACCACAATCACATGGATAAAGAACAGGAAGGTCAGACTGTCTCCCAGCATGCAATGGTATTGAATTTGCTTTGTGCAGGCAGTTGAAATAACACATTCCGTCTCACTTTAGCAAGAGCTCAGATAAGATTCTATATACTTTAGAAAATGTGGAGACAATCATGCTGCGCCTACCATGGAAAAGTTTTGTAATAAAAACACTGGGAGATGATGGGCTGTAGTGTCATTGGCAGGGTGCTGGCCTGACATGCGTGAGTCCCCCAGCATTGCACAGGCCAGGTTTGGTGGCACACACCTGTAATTCAAAGACTCAGGAGGTAGAGGCAGGAGGATCAGAAATTCTGGGTCTTATAGAGCTACACAATGAATTTGAAGCTAGTCTGGGATACATGAGACCTTGTCTCAAACAAACAAAAATTTGGAAAGGGTTTCAATGAAAACTACTAGGTTTAAAAATATAGTACGGAGCCTGGAGGCGGTGGTGCATGCCTTTAATCCCAGCACTCTGGAGGCAGAGGCAGAGGCAGGTAGATCTCTGTGAGTTCGAGGCCAGCCTGGTCTACAAAGCTACACAGAGAAACTCTGTCTCGAATAATAATAATAATAATAATAATAATAATAATAATAATAATAATAATAATAATAATAAATGTAGTACTGAATTTCAGACTATGACTCAGTGTTGATGCCCTGTCCCCATGTGCTCAAGGCTCTGGGTTCAATTCCCTGGCACTGAAAAAACACCTCAGTGGGAGGGCAACTCAGAAGGCAGCATCGCAGCAGAGACCAGGTGCCTGGTGGCTAAAAGGAGAAGATGAGCTACCATGGACACCCATCTCCCTTCCTCCCCACTTTCCTCTCCTTCTTGCTCTCTCTCCCCTCTGTCTACCATGCTGGCTGGCACTTGTGTTCTCTTCTGCCTTCTGCCTCAACATTGCGGTGGAATGAGGTTTCTGAAACTGTGGGCTCAAAAAGGACTCTCTTCTATAGACGGCCTTTCTCAGTGTGTGGCACACTGACACTAGCTTCTGCAGTCTGTCTGTCTCTACCCTCAGCGCTGGGTCACAGGCAGGCATGCTCAGTCATTCTGGGTCACAGGCATGCACAGCCATGCTGGGTCACAGGCATGCACAGCCATGCTGGGTCACAGGCATGCACAGCCATGCTGGGTCACAGGCATGCTAAGCCATGCTGGGTCACAGGCATGCACAGCCATGCTGGGTCACAGGCATGCTCAGCCATGCTGGGATTCCTATGTGGGTGTGGTACCAGTTCTCTTGGTCTTATGACAGTCTTATAACTAAATCCAAGTCTTCGAAGATTCTGGATCTCTCCTAAACTCCTTGGAAAAATGAAGATGGTAGTACCATCTTCCAGGCCTGTGGCAGCAAAAGCAGCCAGTAGTGGCGTTGATAACTCGTGGGCACCTGCTTAGCTTCTGAGGGGAAGATGGCACAGTAATGTGTGTGACTCTGAGAGGAGGGTGTGAATCTTGAACATGGCATCCACAGGTGCATTGCTGGGAGGTGCCTTCCTCTCGAGAGTCCTTGCATGCCCCGTCTAGCCAAGCGTGGTATTAAGAACATAACAGTGAATGAGTTGTTATAGCTCCACAGACTGCAACAAAGTCCCACAGCTGGTGACTCCACCTCCCAAGTGCCACCATGCAGATACTTCATGTTTATCTTATTGCTATTTTTATCCTTATATTCTGCCAGGAATTGAACCCAGCACTCTGTGCACGCAAGATGAGCAGTCTGCCAACTGAGCTCTATATCTGCAGTCCTACTGAAGCCTTTCTGGGCTGGTGAAGTGGCCAGCGGGTAAGAGTACTTTGTCTGCAAGCTTGAGGACTTGACTTGAATCCCCAGCACAGACTTGGAAATCCCAGAATGGTTGGATGTACCTGGAACCCAGCCTTGAGGTCAGAGACAGACGGATTCCAAGAGCTCCTTGGCCAGTCAGCATAGCTTAAATGGTGAGTATGTGCACACATGAGCTGAACTCTCTCCATCCTCACTGAACCACATATATCACATGTATAAAAGGAGGGAAAACCTTTTCTTTAAGTTTGAGCTTATTTTTAAAATAAGAAGCAAAAGCAGCCCTATAAATGGAAGAAGAAATAAATGCACACGTTGTACCATGCATGCTGTCTCATAAAGGTACAAGATGATAAGGCTGAGGTGGCAGAGAGTGCTTTGGTAGGATGGAGCTGTGCCAGAGAAGGAAGATGAAGAAGGCGGAAGGAAGGAAGGAAGGAAGGAAGGAAGGAAGGCAGGAAGGAAGGAAGGAAGGCTTGACACCCAGGTTTCCTCGTGGGGTTACCTCAGCAGTGTGGGATGACCAGGGTCACCAAGTGGACTGTTGTTGGATCTTGTTGTGGTCCTCGGCAGTTGGATTCATTGCAGTCCTTGGTTGTTGGATTCATTGCATTACAAACAAATGATAAATAAAATAAAGTAGAAATAAAAAGCCATGATCCATAAGGGTCATACATGGAACCCGATGACAGCCATGAGACACACAGTGTAGTTCATCTACTTGTTTTTATCTGAGGTCAAAAAAGTAAAAAAAATAAAAAATAAATGAAAAAGAAAAAAAGGAAGTGAGATAGAGGGGGAAGAGAAATTCAAAAAGTTTGAAATGATTTTGGAGGGAGCCAACTGGACAAACAAATGGGGGAAGAGAGTGTTGCCAAGAGAAGACGGGAATGGATTACAAGGCTGAAAGACCTGGGCTTCTAGTGCTGAGGCAGAACAAAAGCACAGCCTAAGTGGTGCTTGTGAGCCACGAGAGGGACACTCTGTCTCCACAGAAGAGTGTCAGCCAAAGGGCTGGATTCCAGGAGAGGGCAATGTGGTTAGACGCCACACGGAGGGCTGGCCTGATGCACACTGACACTTAGCCAGCTGGGGTTTTCCAAAACGCTCCAAGTGTTGTGGTCTCTCCTGGCTCTTGTGATAGGCCAGGCTATTAATAGGAGGAACCACGAGACTGACCTGTGGCCGTAATCACCTCTGATGAGGACTTCTGCCTCTTGTGGGTAGCTGAGGAGACTCCTTTGGGAGTTGCCATCCTGGGTTAGCCTGATGTGGGAATGATGCATGCTGGGAGCAGTCCAGGGAGCTGGGTTTTGCAGTGATGTGCCCAATGGCCACTAGAACATGACATAACTATTCAAGATGGCAAAGTTTGCGTGACAGCAAAGATAGGCCCTTTGCTGGAGGGGCGTTTGGAGGGCCTCCCCCACCCCAGTTGATTTAGCATGTCCTGATGATGCTGGGAAAGAAAGCCTTCCGTGACCTGTGATTCCCACCTGTCCCGTTAGACTTCTCTGTCCACCCCCCAGGCCATGGTTTATTATGAATCTGTCTTCCTCTGCTTCCCTCTCTTGAGGACAGAGAATTAAACTCTGCACTCAGCCCAGGTGTGATGGCTCACATGGCAACCCTAGCACTTAGGAGGATCAAACCATTCAAGGTTCATCTCAGCTTCATGGAAGCTAACCTGGGCTACATGAGATTCCATCTCAAAACAAAACAAACAAAGCAACAAATAAATGAATACAATCCATGCTCAAGAGCTGCTAATGGGTTCTGCCTGTCATCCCAGCATATGGGGTGTAGAGACCGGAGAGTCAGGAGTTCAGGGTTATCCTCAGCTACATAACTAGTCTGAGGCCAGCCTGGCCTACAAAAGACATGCTTCCAGACACATAAGCGTATTGTCTATTTCTTTATATTTATAGGGACATGTGTGTTATCTATTTCTTCATACATAAAAAAATAGGTGAGGCAGGGTTTATACTTGCCATTTTAGTTTTACATTTTATGCCTTTTGTTCCTTTGTTTCTCCTTTATTGTCTTCTTTTGTGTTTTTTTGGTAGACCATTTAAATTCTCTTGCTGTTGTTTCTTTGGATGTGTGTAACGTATGTGCACATTCGTGTGGGTTTTCTTATGTGTGGAATGTATGTGTGTGGAGGCTGTGGTTGGTGGCAGGTGTTTTCCTCCACCTTTATGTCTGAGACGAACTTGCTCACTGAATCTGGAGTGAATGGATTCAACCAGAACAGCTGGCCACCTGGGCCCAGGCACCCGGCTGTCTCCACCTCCCAGTTAGCTGTACTCAGCTTCTTGTGGATACTCAGTCAGAACTCAGCTCTCCAGGCTCACACCGTAAGAACTCCAGCAACTGAGTCACTCCCCAGCCCTTGCTCTGTTTACTGTATGGAGTTACTATCTTAGCGCCCGCTGTGGGTATTATACAAAGCTTAATTCATTAGCACGAGAGAATCTATTTTAGATTAATAACCAACCTTACTTGCATAGTACATGAGGCTTTGCTGACAGTTACTCAACATAGTATTTTTTTTAAGGAGCACTGTGTGAAAATTATTCTGTAGCCTAGGCTGATCTCAAGCTTGTCACCCTCCAGCCTCACTCTTCCAGGTGCAGGGATTTGTACGCACACAACATCATGCCTGGCTTAAGAAAGGAAAATGGGGAAAAATTTTGGATTTATTATGTAGTTATGTCAAATCACTTCATTTGAAGGGAAAACAGGTATATGTGCAGAGTCCCACGGGAGTGAAATATTTAAATATTTGAACACTCAAGGCAGTAACAGGCCTACTGTCTCTAGGTTGGGAACGCAGCGCAGCTTTAACGGCAGGATGTTTGGGAAGGTCAAAGCTCACATGACACCCATGGCCCCAGTTAGTTAGGGAAGAATTCATGGAATTTGAATCTTTAAAATTTAAATTATTAATTCTATTGTGAGAGGTCATACTTGAGTACTGTATTTACATCATCCCCTCTTGAATTTGTGACCTCGTCTGTAATTATATTGAGTCCATTTAGTGTTGCTTGCATGTACATAAGTTTAGAGCTTAGCACTGGGGCCTGGATAAACCATCCGGGTCTGTTCCTTGTTCAGCAGTCATGGATTGTCTTTAGCTCCTCCCCAGGGGCAGGGCCCTATGAAACTCCTCCCACACAGTTCATGGCCACTGTCCAGGTCTTGTTTAGATGACCATATTGTTGTGATTTGAAGGGCACAGCATGCCTGCCATGTCTAGAGGAAACTGTCTGCCAGCGGGCTTCCTGGTCCTCTGACTCTTACAGTCTTCCCTCCCTCTCTTCTTTAGTGCTCTCTAAGCCTCTCTGTACCTTCCCCAACTGGGGCTGGGCACCCAAAGCTCACTAAGTCTTAGCATTTTGACAGTTGTGGACTCTGTGTCGGGGTCTGTCTGATGCAGACAAGAAGCCTCTCTGATGAGGCCTGAGAGGAAAGACGTAACTTGAGTATAAGGATATACACTCAGGGTACAGTTAGAAGCTGTATGGATTTAGAAAAATGTCGTTAGCAGGTTCTCCACCTCTAGTGCCTGTGACTTCTCCGCCCATAGGCACTTAGCTGGGTCTGCAGTACCAGATGTGGGCTCCCTCTCGTCGAGCGCGTGTGTTTCACGTCTAATGAGACAGCTGGCAGTTACCCCTGAGGCATTAGTGACACCATTGCACCCTGGGGGTGTCTTGCCGTACTGGCTTCACAGTGCTGGTTCATGGTCTTTGTGACTGAGTGGACTATTGATTGTGCTTCCCCTTGGCAGCTAGCTGATGCAGTGAGAGTTAGTCCTTAGGGAAGAGCTCAACACCAGTATTGTGGGAGTGTACATACTCACGGAGTTATAAAGAAAACAAACTGGCACTCACCAACCGCATTAGCGTCTTTCTTTTCAGGGATAGTGGGTTGCAGTGGCCTTCTGTTCCCATAGCATCTGTAATGTGGCCTGAAACACTGAGTATGCTTAGGAAATACCTATCCATTGTCCCACTGAATGTCTTTTGTTTGTGTAAATCGGTGGAATTGGACAATTGGAAGAGAGAACACACATTCTGGATCATTGGAGAGACTGTTTGTGGGTTCAAGACCAGCTCGTCTACATAACAAGTTCAGGCTATCCAAGACTACAGAGTGAGACTCTGTCTCAAAGACAAAATAAAACAATAGGCTTCCCCAGAAACTTCCCCCAAATCTGAAAGTAATGAACAACCACCATCACCACCACCACAACAACAAATGAACAAAAGCGCATACGGTCTTCCACATTTTGGTCATTAGGGAAAAGCTATGTCCCGAGGACACTGAGTTGCTTGGCCAGTAGAGGGAGCACCACACCTACCGTGGATTACTGAACCCCATGCTAAGTGGATAGAGGACTCACACCCCCTCAAACATCCCAAAAAACACAGACTTCTAGAGACAAAATAGTCTGGGACTATGATTTGGGTTTTTGCAAGTCATGATTTTCCATTAAGTTATTCACAGAGTTCTAGAATTACCTTATTACTGCCGGAGAGTGTTGAGGGTGCAGCCTAAACATTGTAGAAACAGTCATTTGACCATTCCATCCCTCGTCCACAAAAATCTGGCTTGGGTGTTTATCCCATCAACTTGATTAGATTCTCAAGGTTCAAGATCGATTGTGCAGGGGTTGGGTTGAACATTTTTTTGGCTAATCCTTGAGCCTTTGATGTGGTTGTGCTTGGGAACGGGATGGGTTCTCCCTTCTTGACTCATGGGCTCCCACAGCTGAGCACCTCCAGTGTCCTCCCGCACCGGCTCTCTTGCTGACTTTGCAGACACAGAGCCCACCCTGTCCCACCTCATCCCACTCGCTCCCCCATGCTTCCCCTTTGGAAACAGGGCTGTGGCTGAAGAGCAGCTCTTCTGCACCAGGGGTTTTTCATTTACTCTGTCTCCATCCAGGTTGTCACAGGCGTATGTACGGCTGCTTCGCTATCTCCTGGGAATTCGCGTTTTAGCGTGCCCCCCTTCTTTGTTAGCATTTCTATTGGCCTTGTGGTGCTTCCTTTGTCTTTTCTTTCCTTTAAAAATATTTGTTTTAATCTTATGCGTACGAATGCCCGCCTGCGTGGATGTACATACAGTGTCTGCATGGAGTGCCCAC